TTGAGAAGCTCGTATCAATCATCCTTGGAATAAGGTGCAACATCAACTAGTGATGCTCGCCTTGCTGATGGTGTAACATGCAGTGGGTGGCTACTACGGCTGAAGAAACTTTTTGGGGTGATGTTTTATCCCGCGATTTGCTGTTTATTATTATGCAATATCTTAGTAACGACGTTGCTTGTGGTCTTTTTGAGCCATCGGAAGAGCCTGAACAATACTGTTGTTGGTATGTATGCGTATACGTCTTGTTAGTATCCTCGGAACATGAATAGTAGTAGCCATCCAAGTGAAGATGTGATGTCTGCTTTGGTCAATCTATGATTCTTAAGAACTTTTGTCGATGACGCTCTGAAGACAAGCAGCATCATTTGTGCTGTGATCAATGTATAATTCTTCAGAACTTTCCCCGGTGATGCTTTGGATGCGCAGCATCAACTGCTGATGCCCGCCCTGCTGAGGGTGTGGCATGCAATGTATGGTTACAACCACACATTGCATGCCACACCCCCAGCAAGGCGAGCATCACCAGTTGAATGAACTTTTTGAGTTTTTTGATGTTTTTGGCGTGCCTTGCTAATTCTATTGGGTTGAGTAAAACGTTTTGATCAGCTTTCCATCCCTCTATAGAGCACAGCAGCCTGATCCTCACGCACTGGACTACACATCAGCAAGGCGGGCATCAACAGGTGATGATGCTCGTCTTCGAAGCATCACTGACAAAAATTCTTAAGAATCAGGGATTGACCAAGGCAGACATCACCACCATTAGAATGGTCAGTGCTATTTATGCTCAAAGATATTAACGGCACAGGCAATACATGAGTCAGGCTCTACCAATGGCTTAGAGGGATACAGTGCGTAACTAAATATGTGGGCACATCACTACTTTGATTCATCGAGGTTGCCAGTGAATTTTGAACTATGAGACCTATACTATTCGAACTCTCGGATGCGAAAACCTATAATTCTTTTTCTTCTGGAAATTTTGACAAGCTCTTACTTTGTTTCAATTTAGGAAGAAGTCTTCCTTGTAACAAAAACATGTAGACACCCGAGTTAGATCTGACTTTGGCACCGGAATCCTGAAGCGTTTCCGATCGTTTTCGAAATGACTATTCTGTTCTCATGCCTGTCCGTGGTAAGCTTCGCTCCGAAGAAGAACAAGCGCAGATTAGGGCTCTTTGTGAAGCTGGACACTCGAATAGATAAATCGCACGTGAGCTCGGACACTCTAGTTCATGGATTGGAAAACATTCAAAATCCCGGTGCTCTTTTCTCAGCTCAAACAGTGGGCCCACCTCGAAGCTTGATAGCTGAAGATCACAGGAGAATAGCCTCGATGACCTCGAATTTTACTTATTCAATCGCGGTCCAATCGATCGAACGAGCACATAACACGAGAGGTTGCTTCATGACTAGAACGCCCAAGCTCACGTGCGATCTATCTATTCGACGGTCCGGCTTCACAAAGAGCCCCAATCTGCGCTTGTTCTTCAGAGTGAAGCTTACCACGGACAGGCATGATTAACACTTTGGAGCCCGCGCAGGTATCGGCAACTGAGGCCGCGAGGGACCGCGGCGCTCTTTTGAACGCAGCAACTGCAGCCCATATGTGGGCTTCACGGGCTCTCGTGGCATGTTTCTTGAGAAGCGGGCTATTTTGGCGGGTTTTTCGAAAATACTCACTCCTGCTGTGGGATTACGTCAGGATATGGATTAGTCAGGCTACTGCTGTCTTCAGCGA